AATGTGGAAAATAATAAAGTAAATGAACAAATCATTCATGATGTTCACAATGTTTACGAATCACCAAAACTCTGTAAATATAGAAGGTAAGGATGTCATATCATCATATGAATCAAAGGAACAAAAAGCTGACGACACAAATATTTTATGTTCGGAATCAATAACAGATTCCAAGTTGCTTGAAAAAGAAATATTGGATTCGAATGATTTAAGTAATCATGCAACTACAGGTGGCGACTTGGATTCTAACCTATCTGATAAGTCTGAAACTAAGCAATCAGATCGTGCAGAATCTACCAAAGATATAGAAAATGTAAGCATGAACGGTAGTTCTGAAACGAATAACGTTAATATGGAAACTAATTTTCTATATTCTGATGGCGTTGAAAATGATCAAAATGGGAATTCTGATAATGCAAGTGAAGAGTTTTTGTCTCCAGAAGAGAATGAAAATGAATGTTTTGATCAAACGTTCGACGCAAATAATTTATTGGAAGCGGTTGATACCAACTCCGCAAGTGCGAATAATAATTTAGTCAATAATTTTCTTATGGAGAAGCAGAATGAAATAACAAATGGTGAGGTTAATTCATCAGAATCTACAGTTATTTCGAACCAAAACAATATAGATGAAAAGGGCTTTTCAGGAGCAAAATGAATCCAATAATGATTCAATGACTGAGGTTGAATTCACAGAATTGGTTACAACTTCACAAGGTAAATTATCACTAATTGCTTTTAAATGTCTAAATTTAGAAATATTTTATAATTATGTATCAAATATATTAAGCTAGATAGGTCAAGACGCGCATATTTTATGAAAACAATTTATAAATGTCATTTATTTATTTTAATCAAGTATGTGAACGAATCAAAATATTACACAGAAATTGCTAATCGAAACAAAAGTTTAAATTTCAATTTTTGAAATAAATAACTAAATAAGTAATTCAGTTATTTATTTGCACAAAATTATTTAAAATTAGTTTATCACATTGCTTTAGTCTATTACCTATTATTAATTTCTTTAAAATGCGATAATGACATCGGAATTGGAAACGAAGATACATTACCTACAAATGAGTACCACAACAAAGGTCATTATTTCTTATTTAAAAAATTATATCTATATATGATATTGAATATGATAATTTGCGATCTTACAAAAAGTTCTTATTTACGATCTTACAAAAAACGCATAAAATTCATGCCTCTGGACCAGAATACACCCTTAAACTCATTGAAAACGATTTGTCAAATCAGAGGTTTTAGTTTCAAACAGTTTGAATCGTTTACATAGTTGAAGGATTATTATATTAGATTAAAACTAAAGCGGACATCGCTTCTGGACGTAAGACGCTCTTAGGGTTAAGTATTGTACCTGTATTATTCAAAATCGCTAATTATAATAATTTATTTCACATAGTAAACTATTAGCATGAAATGTGTCTACTAACTATGATGATTTTATTTCTAAAGGTGGAAATGTTTATGATGATTTCATTTCTAGAGGTGGAAATGACTTCTAGACAGGCAAAGCGTACAGGAGATGATGAGTTGACCGATGAAGATTCTTCTCTAACAAAAGAATGAAAGTTGACGATACTATCAGCATTGAAGATGATGATGATGAAACACGGTCGACCACAAAACTGATGAGAGCGATAAAAGAATAAAACGCACGAGAATTCGCGGCGGTAGAATGTGAATTGAGTGTTTTCAAAACAGTATGATTTTAATGCGAGATAGTCTGGTCGGGATCCGCGCGAGGATATGAGGAAATGGAATGGTTTGTAGCAGGAAAAATTGTCGCATTGCAATCGATTGCAGGAAGATGATTTGCAACGCGACGCGCGCACGACCTCATCGATGGTTTGCAACGTCGGTAAGCAAACTTGAATCGCAGCTTACAATTGCCACTAAACATGTAAAAGACCTTGATTTCTGCACGGTAAGTGCATGTCAAGTATAAATATGGCAAGATTGCGAAATGGTCAATTACTCGCTCATCCTCACTATGTAACTAGGTATGCAAAATTTTTGATACAGACTTTAATCATTGCAGTAAATAATATAAATTATTTTCAACTTCAGATCTGTAGGTTTGCAGGTTTGTATAACAGGAAGCTCAATAGTAAATTTCAACCCCAAAAGATCTAATAAAAATAATGATGATACTGCGGATACAAATCAGCAATCTCTAAACTCTCAAAAACAGGTAAGATTTGCATTCGTTACCTTTTTAACACCCCGTAGGGTAAGTTATAGTAATCGCAAAAAATCGAAAATGAAAATTTTTGCATATCTTTACGTTTGAAGGTTGCTGAACATTTTGATATACCTTAGAAAGAAATTATGTATGTGTGTGTGTGTTGTGCACGAATCAATCGGTTTCAATTATTCAAAAAACATTCAATTCTTATTGATGAGAAGACTGATTAGTTTTTGGTGGAGACAAGCAACCAAAGATGCGGGGCAAAAAGTCCCAAAAACGGTAATTCAGTTTTTGAGAGAACGAAGTACCTGATTTGATTGATTCAAAAAACATTTCACTTGTATTTTGACGAAATGAAGAATTGATGAAATTTTTTGTAAGGCTGGTGTAGCGGTTTCGGAGATACAGAGAAAAAAGTAACAAAAAAATGATCATTAGACATATGCACATCAAATTATTAGATATTTAATATTAATTTTAAAAATGAGTACTAACTTTCTTACATTTTTGTTGGGTTCCGTACTAAGATTGTTAATAAGATTACTTATACGGTTCAAGCCGATTTCAACATTTTTAGAAAAAAGGTGTTTTCAAAAATATACAAAGTTTTATACTTCAAATATGAATTTCAAATTTCAATTCAGTTTGAAAAGGTATATATTTTAAATGCGTTTTTCTAATCGTAAGAAATCCTCAGATGGATTTATTCGGCACCTCTTACTAATGTTAAATTTCTCAAGTGTTTTGAGCGATAAGACCGTCACTGTATATTTTATGAACGATAAAATATATAGTGATTATAATTATGTATTTGAAAATGTTTAAAACAATTGTTATTAATCATTGATTAATATTTATTGATTATAGATTTTTTTCCTCGAATATTTAATACTGTTACGGGGAATTTCCAGGCACGATGCCATGCACCACTAGTTTATAAATTTATTTAGCTTCCTGTTTCCAAATTATCAATTTACATGATTTCTATTACGTTATATTCTATAATTTAATATTTACAGTTATATACAATATTCTACGTGATATTAATTTTATATACATTACATTATATTTTTTGAAGAAAGCAAGCTAGTCAAAATAAATACCTTCTCAATATTTAATTTGAATATCTCGTTTAAAAATATATATCTCTGAGATATATATTTTTTACACTTTAAAATCAGATGCTGCAAATTTCCTTCAAAATCGCCACATGAGCATTTACTGACGTTTTTCATTTTTATTTTATAGAGATGTGAAAAGAAACATCCGTGATTGAATCTTAATCTACACATTATAATTGATTATTTCTTGATTCATTTTTTAGTTGCCCATTCACTTTTAATTCGCTAACATTCTGGCTTGTGCATTTCTATAATACGTTCCTTTTAGTAAACCTTGCGTTTACTCAATTTATTTTATGCCCATACATTTATTTCATTATTTTATTTTTTGACAATAGGTAAAGCAACCAACTCAGTCGCAACCAAAGGAAACGACATTGACTAACAACCAGATAAATTCAAATACTGCCACTCCTCCATTGCCAGTAAAATTAATAAAGAATCTTACTGCTCTTACAAATACTTCAAATTCAAGAGGTGATGTCACTATTGTAGATCTCACAGCAGAAGAAGAGGAAAATTTTATGAGCAAAAAAAGTAAGCTATTTATATTTTCTAATGTATTTTTGTTTAATTGTGATGAATTTTTGATATAATTTTGATATAATTATTTTGATCATATTTCAATTTGAGATTTGGGATAATAATATTTTTGGGTTTAGTATTTTTTTTATTTTTATTCATTAATATAGGAAAATAAAGATATCGAATTTATGTATAAATCACAAGAAATGTCAAATACTAGTTTTTGTTAGTATTGGAGGAAAAAAGTGTGGTTGAAGAAAAATTTGAGTTCGATCTTGGAAAAAGCTAATGCAATTGCATTTTTTAATGCATTTGCAAACTGTAAATGTTTATTGAATGATTTGGTTTATTCTAAGAGAAAGGAAATCTATAATAAAACAGATATAAGTAGCATTTTGCCTTAAGATGGATTTATTTATTAAGAAGTTAGATTCAGCTATTTAGAAATTGTCAATAAAATTTTAACTGTAGTGAACAATCACGCATTTGTATGTCTTAAGAGCACCTCATTATTATAAAATTTGAAGAATTTACAACATTTTTTTTGGAAATTCAATTGCTTTATGTGGGATTCTAATAATTTAAGATGTTTGTTCAGATCTCCATAGACATATTAAATTTTATTGAAATTGTAAAAAATAACATTTAATTGAGAAGAAACGGTTCGGCGCCATTCTTTGCCAAAATCTAATTTCACGATTTCCATATGATATATTTCTAACGGTTTTTAAATATTCAAAATCTCTATAATCTATCAGGATTTTTTTTTTGAAAACGTGAATCAAAACTTTTGTAATTTTCTCCAAATTATAAGGAAACGTCCAGGTTGATTGCCTGAAAAAAAACGAGTTTTTTTGAGTTACATGACTTAATGAAAACGAATGACTTTTTTTTAAATCACTTCAGCCGTTTTTGAGGACGTCGTCTAATGGTCAAAAATCGGCTCACTTACACACGTATTATTTCCCAAATTTTGTCTCAAACTATTAAGAAAGACTTGTTGAAAGCTTAAAATTAGCAAATCGGATTAGGGGGCGTCCATTAATCACGTGAGCTAGTTTTTGAAGATTTTTAAACCCCCCTCCCCCTTGGCGATACGTGGTGATATTCAAAATAACCCCGCCCTCCCCCACCAAACATCACGTGTATTTTTAGTTACGTGAAAAAACTAAGATTTTTGATTCTTTTTTTGAAAATGTTTGATTTTTTTTTTAAATTAGTTAAAAAATAAATATACGTGATATCTTACCATACCCCCCTCCCCCACGTGATATTTCGTGATTTTTTGTCAAACCCCCCCTCCCCCTAAAACCCTCACGTGATTAATGGACGCCCCCTTATATCTAAAGCGAACTTCTCTTTCGGGAAGTTAAAACCTGTATATATTATACTTATTTAGGGTGGTTGTTATTTTTTAATTAATTGAAGCAAAATTTAAGCAAGAGTGGGTTCAGATTGTGCTTCTATATTATTTAAATATTGTTGTAGGTAAAGTAGATGGAAAGAATTCAAGACCTACATCGAACACTAGTTCGCCAATGAGTTGGTCGAGTCCTGGTTCCAATTCAATTGGAAGTGCTGCTAGTGGTACTTTCATGACAACTAAACGTCTGCCACCGCTGCCAAGCTGCCAGTATGCTGCTCCGACACCGGTACAGCAACAACCACGTAGGACTAACAAACCCAGCCGACCCGCTGTTACGATTAGTCAAGTGGCGCAGGTAATATGATAATTTTTGTGCTCATCGAATATTTTAGTCTCGAAGTCAGCAGACCAGCAATTATATATACTATTTTTCTTTACTTCTATTCCTGTTTATATGTTCAAAGTCAGAAACATATCGATGGTTTTCTGACGCAACCTCGTAACTCGATTTTTGACGATTTTGAGTTTTAATCGGAAAATCAATCACTAAATATAGACGCATAGATCTGTGAAGTTTTGTAAAAAAAAATCTACCGAACGTTTTTTATTGAGAAAAATACAATCACGTATCTCAATTCCAAAAAATGTGCCATGCGCAACCTCGTATCTCAGAATACATGGTGGCGTATATAAACAAGTTTCGCTGTCAGCAATGTTGTTTAGTTCAATCTTTCTGATAAAAATTATTATTCAATTAAGTTAATTGTTATTAAAACTTAATGAACGATAGTTAATAAATACATTTATTATTTACTTACCGCAAGTTATAGTAATTTTCCTAAAATTGAAAATGAAACTTTTTGCATATTTAACGCTTTAGAGGTTTCTGAATATCTTGACATACCTTAAAAAAATGGATGTATGTGTTTGTGTGCGTGTGTGTTTGTGGATACAATTATCTGTCCACGTTTTCGGGAGCACGGATCAACCAATTTGAAACATTCAAAAAGCAATCGTTTCTTATTGAGAAAACAGAGCATCCGATTTTAATTATTTAAAAACATTCAATTTTTATTGATGACGTGGTGATTAGTTTCTGGAAAAGACAGACCCAGTCGTTACAAAGCTTCCGATTCGAATGATTCAAAAAACATTTTGCAGTATAAAGAATCGATTAGTTTAGGAAAGCAGAATTTTTTTTGTCCATTTTTTTTTAATTTACAATTATTTCTTTGTTTAAATATGGAAAACGATTCGGCTTTTAATTTTTGCTAGCTAACATTCTAAAACTCTCTTATATACTTCAAATAAATAAATTTAAATTTGCAAATTAGTTTATATAATTATTAGAAATATGAGATATGTTTTTTTTTACTTTTATTTACTTTTTATGTAAACATATATAAACGTCGTTGTCCAATTTATTCTTATATTTTGTCATTCAAATGCGAATAACGAAAGTTACAGTATTTATAATAATCTATTTGAAATCATTTATTATTCCTCGATTCTATTTAATTACGGTACGGGAAGTTCCACCAATTTGCTTAAAGACACGATGCCATGCACCACTAGTTATATTTTTATTATGTTGAGAACAAATATCACAGTAAGCAACAAAAATTAAACAATTATCAATTCTTACTGGCAATAAATTCTCACATGAAATTAAATTTTGTATATTTTCGAGTTAGATAATGTGTCATCCGCAGATAAAAAATCATTAAATAAAGAAATAATAAAAGTAAAAAAGAATAAAAGTAACAATAAAAATGATAATCACAAAGTAGTAAATTATAAATCCATGAAAGAGCTAAATATCCTAGATATTGAAATACCTAAACTATGGCCAGATACTATATTGTCGTAATTATAAACTAACATATACCACAAGTTTAATAATGTTTGTTTTTTATTAAGAATATTTAAAGAGTTGATCGATATTCAAAATAAAACGATTGAAAAAAGTTATTCATGTACTCTTATTTGAAAACAGCATGACGCAACCACGTATGTTCAAAGAATTGAAGAAAAAATAATGGTTAATTGTTTGTAATATCATACTTGTCTCAAATAATTGTCACAAGATTGAATATTTATAAAAATTTATAAAAAAAATTGTTAACAGCAGTTCAAAAATTCGTTATAAAACGTTTTTTGTCTCTCCTGAAAAGTTACAAAAATGTTGCTCTGGCTGGCACAATCCTGCAGCTCTATCCCTTACATAGACAAATAGATTTTATAATCTTTGTATAATAAAATCGAATTTTCGAATGAGAGTTTGGATGATCTCCCTATAAGCCAATTCAATTTTTTCACTTCTAGATCTATTTGTTTTCTCTTCATGGTAATGTACATTTTCCAGTTTAGTTTACTATCAATATGCATATCTAGGTATTTCATGGATTGATAACTTCATTAGACAGGTATAGAGCGGAGCACATAAGCAATTCAATTTTTTCACTTCTAGATCTATTTGTTTTCTCTTCATGGTAATGTGCATTTTCCAGTTAGTTTACTATCAATATGCATATCTAGGTATTTCATGGATTGATAACTTCATTAGACAGGTATAGAGCGGAGCACATAAGCTTTTTAATTTTTTGTTTTTGTTGTAAAATTTTCTCGAGTGGTATTAATAATGCATGTTAACGCACAATATGCTCTGAATTTTATAAATATTCAATTTATTATAGAATCTTTATTAATAGTAGATACTTTTAAATTAAGGAATAATTGTTTAAAAGAGTTGTAATTTAATAGTTTATTTGAGCACAAGTAATTCAGTTGGAATTTATCTACATATGTGTTATGTGTATGTATTATATATATATAGTGGCGATAGTTACGTTTTCGTTAAATTGGGTTTGGGTTTTATATCATGAATGAAAATTTGTATATATTTTATATATATATATAATATATAATGCTTAATCTTTCAGCATAATATATTTATATCCTAATTTATATTATAGTTCAGATTTATATTGAACAATTTATAGAAATAAAAGAATTCGTTATTTGAGTAATAAATCAATCATATCACATAAATAATTTAACTCTATATAGAAGATTTATATTTTTTTAAATTTAATTTCATTTATTATACTTTTATAACAATATTAGGCTTATGAATAAAGTTTATCAATATTTATTATAATAAACAAATTAGAGGATAAAGCTAAATCACCTCTATAAATATAATGATTTTTCATATCATGGCCTTTAATATAGTAAAATCCCTAGTATTAAGGTAATCATATTTTGTTACTATTTATTGCACTTCAACATTTATTATATCTTCAGGGTATTGTAATATCATGGACTATGCCAGACGAAACTCTCGATCAAGCTAAGATTGCCAGCTACCAAATATATGCATATCAAGAAGGGGACACTGCAACTAGTTCAGGCAATCTTTCATCAGATCTTTGGCGAAAAGTTGGAGATGTAAAAGCAATGGCTCTTCCTATGGCTTGCACACTTACACAGTTTACTCTTGGAAACAGGTTTGTTGTTTAGTAATATGTTTCATGAAAACATTTAGGTATGAGCTAGAATCTAGATACACATTTAAATACAAAAAAATTAAAACAATCAAATCAACTGCAAAATCGCTATCTATCTTTAGTCGCTAGTGATCTTCTAGTATTCTTAAGCTTCATATTTTTGTAAGGTAACTTACAAAAGTTTTCAAATCTGAAATTATTATAACATGCCAAGATTTGGATAAATATTTAAGCGATGTGTAAGTGAAAAACATTTGTTTTGTGCAGACAATGTGAATTACTCATTAGTTGTTGGGAAAGGCTGATGCAGTAGCAAAACATGGTAGTGGCATTACGGTACCTTGCCATAAAAAAATATTTTAATATAACATTAGATTAAATATATTGATATAACAAACTTCTCAATGCTGTGTTATGTATTTTTCATCACAGTAAATAATTAGTGCTTGCAAAAATCTTCTGTACAGAGACTCTTTTCATATTTATTTGCATGCTTATATTCAAGTATTTATAATTTTTATATCTGTATATTAGATACCCCTTTTTATACTCAACAAAATTAAACCTACCATATCCCGTCACTTTGATAATAATTATGTATATTGCGTTTTTTTAGTAGTAGTTCTAAAACTAGATCCGAGATGGGCTGAAATGTTCAAACCGTCCTTGGCGAAAAGTTTAATAAAAAATTACATTTAGTCTTGATAAACTAAAAGCCTTTTTTATTCAAAATTTATTCATTTGCACATGCCTGCACCTCTAAATCATATGTTTTAAATTCTAAAGTATTGAAATTATAATTTCAGTGTGTTTATTTTGTTTTTCTATTTTTTGAAACCCTGTTTCTAATTTTATTTTAAGAATTTTGATTTTGTTAATTAACTATAATAAATAACAACAGCTCAGTAGCGATAGTTACGTTTTCGTTAAATTGGGTTTGGGTTTTATATCATGAATGTAAATTTGTAAATCAAGTTCACTTTTTATAAAATCTCGTTGTCAATAATCGTACATTTTGCAAAGTTTATAATGTAATGATGAGCCCCGATATACATCTACTTGCGTTATTAAAAAAAAAAAACTCGTGGTGCTAAAAAGCTAACCCGCCTTCCCAAATATTTTATCAGTGTTTATTTGGACAATACCAGTAAAATGTTTTTTCGAATTATATATATCGCCAGAAATAGCAAATGCAAAATTTTGATTGACTGGGTGAACTGCCCTATAAAAACATTTAATTGTCAAAAAATAAAAAGTGGAAACGAAACAAACATCAATATTGACACATATGCTTGCAATTTGCAATGTGCGTAAACCAAAAAATATAACTTATGATGTGAAAGTTAATAAACTCCTTAAATTTTTTTTTTACATAATTTATAATGGACATCTATATGCCAATTATAAATGTTATCAGGCACTATTCTTACTGAAATTTTTCTTCACTCTCATCTTGTTTAAAATGCATTAATTTTATCTTTTTTCAGGTATCATTTTGCAGTTCGCGCAGTGGATGTTCATAGTCGTGTAGGAAACTTCAGTGTTCCAAAAAATATACAACTGAATGATATGGTGTAATTATAAAATAATCTTATTTATTATTATGAATTGTAAGAAAGGAAAATAATTAAAGTCATTATGAATTTTATTGACTTTTGATATACAAGAAATTAATTTTATTGTAGTTTCACTCTTGCAACAGTCAAACAATTGTTTTTAACAAACTCAACAAAAATTAAACATATACCATGTAACTGACAATTTTATGCATAAATTTAGTGGTATATAAATATATATATATATATATATATATATATATATATTATACATATATACATGAGTTATTCTGATTCGGGCAGTAACGCCAAGTAAAAAAAAACTAAAAGAAAACTAAAGTTATAAAAACGTTTTATTTAATATTACGTTTTGGTCTTTGTCAATATTTGTATATATATATATATATATATATATATATATACACACAAATATGCATATATATATATATATATATATATAATTATATAAAATTATTTGAGTCCTGGATAACTTAATAATAATGGTAATCATAAATTATATGGTATATGATTTAGAATATTATATTAAAGTGTCAATTCTGAATCATACATTTATTAATAAATAAGCTTAAATAATTTCATACAATAATTTTAACTGAAGAATTTTGTATTTTCAAGCAATCACTTTGAACAAATTTTGATGAAAATAAATGAATTTCGCAAAGATTAAGTTGTTTTTGAATCTCGCGCTTTTAATTGTACAAATGGCTTCGTTGGGCATTTTGATAACTTCATTATCAATAACTTTAATTGTCAAAGAGATTTTTGTAAATAAACACGTGCTCGCCTTAATTACGAATTTTTAATTAAATCATTGATTAGATTCAATTAATTGTGCGTCAAACTATGTAAATAATTTAGTAGAACAATCTGATATAACAAATTCATCGCAAAATGTTCATAAAAAGTCAAATAAATATGTGAAAATGTTTAGGTGTACCTTGAATAGTCATAAGTATCTCTTTCAGGGAGCCCATTTCGAATTGATTTTATATTAATAAATAAACATTTTACTTACAGTCAATGTATCCTTTATTTATATATATGCAAATGTGAATTGTACAATTATTAGTGTATGTATATGCTTCTGTAGGTAATGCTTAAACACTTCCACCCCATATCAATTATATTAATCATATTGTTAATCTTGTCAATTGTCTTGATCAATTATGTTAATCATATTATTAATATTGAATTTTAAGTTCACAAAAGTCTCTTTTGTATGTCGTGTATTGTGTATTGTGTAAAGACTTTACTAGTACGTTTGCAACATGTAAATAGACTTTTGTATGCATTTATTGATTGATTTTGTAAAGAAGTGTTTTTGGGTCGAGTACTAGGAGTTTCTGGCAGTTGCTGCAGAAGTGGCTCAAGTATTGATTTAGTGTTCTGGCAGAAGCTGCAGAGGATATTCCGATTAATGTGAGTGCAAAGCATGTTTTATACAAAGCGAGTGAAAGAATATATTTCTTGAATTATATATAGGCATTTATCGTACTACATCTGATGCACTTAGAGGATTTTAAATATTCAATATTTAATTATTATATATATAATTATAACTATTATATATATATATATATATATATATTATATTATTTGTAATTTTGAATTTGAGACAGTTACATCAACCATGCCCATGCCCTTTGAATAGAAATAAGTAAGAAGATATTGATTATAATTTATTTTCTAAATAGTTTTAAAATTACTGATTGGGTTTGTACTCCACACTACTTTTCATGATTGTAATAATAATACTGAAACTATATGGAGAAATAAATTGGAAGATGCTTTGAGAACTTACCCCTTTCTTATCTTATATACCTTAGTATATATATATATATATATATATATATATATATATATATATATAATATATATATTATATACCCCGTAACACGCGATATGGCCACAACATCGTGGCAATATTTTATTTAGGTCGTGTGACATGCGGTTCCCATATTCATTTTCCTCGATATTACATGGATACGGCCGCAAATTTATGTAACTATCGAACAACTATCGAGGTTCGGTCTCTGGCGCACGTGGCGTTCGTGATACATGAAAATCGACGTTGACCCACATATGTTTGTTTATTATGATAAGACGTCTGACGTAAGGCGTTAACCCCAGTCATGACGTCATTGGCGAATGAAAACGATTCGGTCATGACGTCATACAAAATGGCGACTCAGTTATGACGCAATAGCGCACCTGAAAGTGATGACGTAATGCAATAATATTCTTTTCTGTACGAATAAGCATTTATTTACGTGAATAATAAGAAATTTTACAATATTTAAATATTACAAATTAGAATTGTAGTTTTGAAATTATAAAATTTTAAATGAACTATACTAGAAAACTTTTTACAATTATTCAATCTTAATATTAATAACATATATTTAATGAAAATTGTTGTATATCTAATGAACGTAATTCTATTTTTTGGGCGTGAAGTGTGAAGTGTTGCATAAGTATTCTATCCCACTACTTCCTTATACATCAAACACCTGCCTATTTTTTTCATTATTTCATTCTATCGCCAGTTCATTGCATCAAATGCCAGGATACAGATTATGCACATATACATACTGCCCCAAATTTTGGAAGTTTTCTAAAACAAATTCAAACAATGTGATTTACTGTATATAATTAATATATATATACATACAGCTACCATATGTGTAGCTACCTACATGTTCAGTGTACAAATCTCCATCATCTTAAAGTCGCTTTTACACATACATTTTTAACACTGACTGATTTCATTCTATCGCCAGTTCGATACATCAAATGCGAGGATACAGGATATTCATATATGATGTACTTCTTGGAAGTTTTCTAAAAAATTTGAAACATAAGTGTTTTATTGAATCTAATAATATATATACCACTCCATATGTGTAGCAACTTACATATTCAGGAGACAAATCTAAATCGTCTTCGAGTCGCTTTTGCACATACATTTTTTTTACCTGATGAATTCATTCTATCTCCAGTTCATTATACATCAATTGCTAGGGTACATCAAGTTCATGCATACATGACATACTGTTCCCAATTTTAGAGGTTTTCTAAAACAATTATAAATATAATGTATTTGTTACCAAATAATGTATATACAGCAACTATATATGAATCAACTTACATATTAAGAAGATAAATCTCCATCATCTTCAAGTTGCTCCTACACATACATTATTTAAGCCTGTCTAAAGATCTGTATATTGTTCACCGTTTCATTCCAATTTTGTACGACTTCTGAAATAAATATGAACATGGCATACGTGTTTGCAGTTTATATATATTTTTATAGTTATTATATTTATAGTGACTTACATATTCAGACAATCATCCTCGAGCCACTTCTCCACCGACTAATTTAAGAGATTTAAGAAGTGAGGTTATGTCAAACACATGGATATGTTAATGTCCTAATGTGGTAAAATAATTATTTTAACCTTGCTAAACGATCCTTATTATTGTCCTCAGATTTTGTAATATATGCTATTTGGTTACCTCCTTTGTCATCTAAAGAAATCGACATAAAATAACGTTTCTTCATCCCAGGATATAATGCACTAAATGGAATTCAAAATCGTGAAGTAATTACATATCTATATAAATAATATATGATATACTTACGGTGTCATTTTTCTACACTTTTCAACAATTATCACTATAAACAAGTTGCTTAACTAAACGAATGTAATTATTATACAAAAGAAAATATAACTTGATACATGACAAATTCCTGACATATTGCGCCATTTTGTACGCGGTTAGGATAGCTTTCGTCAAAGGAACAGTCAACCCGCTTGAGTCGGTTCAGCCAGTGGCCACAGCGCGCTGATGTAAAGCTTTCTTTGTATGGTCACACACACCAGCACACAACGCACACAACGCAGCGCACGACGCGTTTGCTTCACGCCGTGTGACGTCATTGATTATGCTTTGCATGTGTGCTAACACACACCAGCGCACAACATGTATCTCACATGAAATGCAACGATGTCATTACCCCCGACAGCGCGTGTTTATGTCACTCAATGCGAGCTTTGCGTGTATTGTAAAGGTGCGTCCACACCTAACGAACGAACACGAACGAACATGTCGAACAAGAAAAATACAAAATAGAACGAACAGGAACACGAACGAACGCGAAAAATTCCAAACAAACGCCTCAAAGCAGTGAGGGTTTGAATCTTTTTGTTCGAGGATGTACCGTGAAACGTCAGATTTATTATTTAAAGTGGCGGGAAAGAGAAAAATTATTTAAAGTCATCAAATTTACAAAATTTGTCAATAACAGCAATATCTTATAATAAATACAACATAAATTAATGCATTAATGCACATTTTAACACCAAAAAAGAAAAATGTTTGTCTACATTCGTGGTAGCGTCCACACTGCACATACGAGTTCAAACATGAACGAACAATTCCCTTTGATGTACCGACAAGTTGCGGAACATTGCTCGCCATGTTTGTTTATGTTCGTTCGTGATCGTTGTGGCGTCCACACTATGCTGTTGCCGTTCGTTCTGGTACGTTCTTTTATGTTCGTTCGTGTTCGTTCGTTAGGTGTGGACGCACCTTAACACACACAAGCGCACGCAAGTTTAAAATCCTCTTGTGGCGTAGATTCGATAACTGCATTATAATAACGATGTCGATATTATAGAAGATCACATCGCGTGTTTACTGGGTACATATATATAGATATATGAGCAAAAGCAGCCTGTATATATTTTAATGAAATATTTTCTGACACATGCATTATTAATATTTTATATACATATATCTGCTGTAAATATTGTTTATATTTGAGTCAATATATATTTTTTAATTGTTGCTGTAATTGTTGCTTGTTGCTTTTTTCAATTCAATTTGCATAAAATATAACTCATCCTTTGTTTATTCAGCAATAACTATTATATGAAAATGATTTATTTGGCAGACATGTGTGTAAAAGATATCAAATATTACTTGCAAAAATTTTTACTATATTTTAAATAATACAATGCACTTATTTAATTGGCAAGAGATGCTTGATAACCAAGACATTGTTCTTATATTATTAGTTATGCTGAAAACATCTTGATTCAGTTTTTGTATATATTTATACAATTGAATTTCATACATGTTCTAAATCATTATAAAATAATAAAGTTTGTACTTCTTGTATGTATCAAAGACATTGAAAATAATTTATATTATTACAGTTCCATAGTCAATCAGAAATTCTTTTGTTCTATAATAACACTATGAGCTGATCTTGTGTGGAATTCAGAATTCTTATATTTAAAATTGTATTACTAAATTATTAGTTAACCAATACAGCTTTTTGTATGCATTGATTACTTGGCATCCTTCTTTAGGGAACTCCTAAATTGATGGTATTTTGTTACAAATTACAAATGTTCTTTGTTACAAAAATCTCTTTTTTTGTGACACCTCTTGTTCATTATTCTTCGGAAACAATTTTTTAAATCACATTTTCAGTATCAAGAATCATGTGTTTTCCCTGTAGCGATATTGACTGCATGTACATTCTTTCAATTTCAGGTCAATTTAGATGAACCAATTGAATTGTTCAATTTTTTAAGTAATTCTAAAATAAATCAATTATTGAATCAGGTTTATATTTATATTAGTTTTTTGTCCCAACAAATACTATGAAGAAAAACCATTTCTGAGTTTTAATTAATTGACATTTTATTGTAATTGATATTGATGTGCTGCTATTAGTTTTTACTATTAGAATACTTTTCGAATGAATTGAATTTACAAAGAAATAAAATTTTATATAGTGTTTATATTATATATGCTTTACAAAGAAGTATTTAAATGTTACAAAATAATTTTACCTAATTTTTATTTTATAGTGTTGTGGACTCTTTTGCTGTTGCAAGTATAGAACTCTTGGAAAAACACTGTTTCCGAAGGTATCAGATTTATTACTTTACCTCAGTGATAATGAGACAAGTCTTGATACATGTAGAAGAAATAATTTAGATCAAGTCTGATATAAACACCTTTATTAAGGGTTACCAATACTGTTAATAGAACCAACAAGTGTGATTTCCAGGTAACTATAAGTAATCTTTAAAATTATAAAAATAAGTAATTATATAACTATGTATATGAATTATATAATGAGAATGAATACTTAACTATACTTACTTAACTATAATTTGAAAAAGAAGACTGCAAGCTTTAAAATATCAACTCATACATTTATAATAAAGTTGTGGAGGCATCTGATTTCTTTAATATAAATAAATATATTTCGAAACGATGACAAAGAGCAGATCGTAATCAATTTTGAATGTTATGATATACCTACAAATACAATAAATAAATCACAAAACTAGAAAGAAAGGAATGCTTACCATACATGTAACTTCAATGTTAGATATTTTTTAAACATCCATTTCATAAAATATTATGAAAATTTGATTTCATCTTTAAAATATAAAATAAAATAACTACATGCATTTAGTTTCATACAGAATGGTCTGAATTAATATAATTTTTATAATTACATTGTATTTTATAGGATTAACTTTACTGTCAAAAACAAAAATGATACTATTATTACTATATTTCATATTATTATTACAGCCCAATCTTTTTTATTATAGGTGAAAATTTGTGACAACGTGAACATGAGTATTTTAAGTTTAGTACGTCACAGTGAACCACCTCAACTGCAAGTAACCTACGAAGCACGGATAAGGAAGATGAAATATCTTAGCATGAATATTTTAGTGATGTAAAAAGCGAATTACCTATGTACGTTTAAAAAGTAGATGACAGTGTGATTGTTTAAAGACTAGTTTTAGTTATATATGATGCTTTTTACATTGGCTTTTGGTCATTTCAATTTAATTGCTTGTAAATGGTATTTATAGAATGTTTCGTGAACCTTTTGAAACTGTATACAACAGAAATTTCTATATAACTCATAGAGTTCAATACAATTAATACAAGTGCATTATTGAGATTTAAATGGACAATAATAATAAAATAAGAGTGCCATGTTCTGGCAATTAAAATTGTATATACAATTCTAATCGTAACGTACTTATTTCTAAAATTATAACTTAGAATGTGTGAATGTGTGTTTTGATGCTTAATAACTTTGATTTTAGAGGTAGTTAAATGTGCCTGTATAATATTATAATGTACTTAGATATAAAATTTAAGTAATTACTCATTACATTTTTAGTTTTATACTTAAAATCCATATTTTTGTACATAAAATCCATATTTATTTTATAGTTTATAGATATATATGTACATTAAAATTATATTATAAAAGTATTTGAGTTTTTAATAACCATTGTAATTGTAATTGTAATTATAAATTTTATGGTATATAATTTATATTATTTCCAGCTTGTTTTAAATAAAAGTTCGCATCAAAGATTTATTAATAAGCTAAAATAATTTCATAAAGCAATTTTAACTGAAGAATTTTATTTTTTATGCAAATTTATACACTTTGAAAAATATACTTTATATAACAATACTTTTTATTTTGATGAATATAAATATTTTCCCAAAGAATAAACTTTCTGCTTGAATTTCGCGCTTTAAATTGTACAAGAGGTGACAGTCATTCTGACACATGTTGTCATGTTGATAACATCAATTGACTTTAATTGTCAAAGAAATTTTCGTGAATTAACACGCGGTCGCGTTAATTATGATTTTTAATTAAATCCTTGATTAGTTTTAATTAATTTATGCATCAAAACGTGTAATTAATTTAGTAGATCATTTTGATATAATAAATTTATCGTGAAACGTTAATTAAAAGCCAAAAAATGGATATGTGTAGAAGTGCCTAAGTGTACCTTAAATAGTTTGATAAGTATCTCTTTCAGGGCCTCCATTTTGAGTCAATTTTATAATTAAACAATTCATTTACAGCGTCAATGTATCCTTTATTTATATATATGCAATTATCAATAGTATAATTTATATATGTGCTTTTGTAGGTTATACTTTAGTACTTTTACCACATATCTCTTTATTATCGAATTCTAAATTCACGAAAGTCTCTAATGTAAGTCGTGTGTTGTGTATTGTGTAAAGACTTTACTCGGACTATTGCAACAGGTCAAATTGACTTGTAAAAGACTAAAGTTATGTAGTGGTTCTAAAGTAGTGATTTTGTGTCGAGTACTTGAGATTTCTGGCAGATGCTCCAGAGGTGGTTCGAGTAATGAGTTAGTGCTCTGGGGGCTGCTGTAGAGGATATCGAACAATGTAAGTGCAAAGCATGTTTTATACAAAGCGAGTCAAAGAATATATTTCTGATATATACAGGCATTTATCATACTACATCTGATACGTAGTACTTTATTTTAAATATTCAATATTTAATTTTTATGTATATATATATATATATATATATATATATATATATATAAGCGAGAGGGTTTTCTTCAGATGGTGAAATAATATGATAAAATTATTCTTGGGCATCCATCCAGTAATTAATAACAGTTTTATTGAAAGAAAATGTTTTGATTTATTTAATTCATTAAATTGGTTAGATTTATGCTTTTTTACATGTTTTTATTTATATTTTTCTGTGGATGGGTCTAATCAAGTCCGGAAACGTATGTTTTCTTAATAAAAACATTTTCTTTCAATAAAACTGTTATTAATTACTGGATGGATGCCCAAGAACAATTTTATCATATATACATATATATATATATATATATATATATATATATAATATATATATATATGTATATATATATATATATATATATATATTTACATAAGAATTAAATATTGAATATTTAAAATAAAGTACTACATATGCAGTATATATGCATTAAGTTTTTCTTATCTTTGATTTTAAAGCAGTAAAATAATTTTGAAAATGTTTACTTCATCACAATATTTTTTGTAATCTTTAGTGAAACTATAATTTTAATAGAAACAAATAAAAAGATATTACTCATAATTTATTTTCTGAAAGAGGTTTACAATTAATGACCGAGTTTTTTATTATATACTAGTTTTATGCTTGTAATGATAATATTTCTTATATAGTTATGTATTTGATGCTTGTTTTTCATATTAAATGAAATTAATTGAAAGATGCTTTGGGGACTTGTGCCTATCTTATCCGATATCATTTATAAAGCAGCCTGTATATATTTTAGTGAAATATTTTCTGGCTCGTGCATTATTAATATAGTTGTATACATATATCTGCTGAAAATATCGTTTATACTATTATATTTGAGTCAATATCATTTTCTTTAATAAGATATACTTTATTAATTTTTAATTCATAAAATACAATATATTCTTTGTTTATTCAACTACAACTATTATGCTAATAAAAGATTTTAAATTAATTTGGCAGACATATGTATTAAAGACTATGTTCATATTTAATTTGCTATGGGGAAGACATGTTGATTCAGTTTTTTCAATTTACATATGAATTAAAATTTATGAATGTTTTAAATCAATATAAAAGATAAAAGTTTGTACTTCTCTTATGTATCAAAGACATTGAAAGTAATTTATATTATTACAATTCCATAATAATATTCCACCAGAGATTCCTTTGCTCTATAAATAACACTATGAACTGATTTTGTGTGGAATTCAGAATTCTTATATGTATATTAAATTTTTGTTACCAAATTATTGGTTAACCAATACAGCTTTTTGTAAGCATCGATTACTCATTTGTTGAAGAGGCCCTAGCATTCTTCCTTAGGTAACTCCTAAATTGATGGTATTTTATTACAAATTACAAATTTACTTTGTTACAAAAATCTCTTTTTTTGTGACACTTCTTGTTCATTATTCTTCGGAAACAATTTTTTAAATTACATTTCCAGTATCAAGAATCATGTGTTTTCCCTGTAGCGATATTGACTGCATGTACATTCTTATTTATGGATAACACGATTGTTGGTTTTGATCAAAATATTTCAAATAGTCAATACGACTTACCAAATTGTTAATTAAATGCGGCTTTTAAAAGTCTTTTACTGTAATTTTATTTGAAATTTATTCAATGATTTTTATTTTTATATTATTAAGAACAATTTTGATCAAGACTTGCAATCAAAGTTTCAAAGAGTTGACTTGAATGATTAGACAAAATATAGTTTTGTTTACAAGTTTATTATTCGATTCAAGTGGTAAAAATTATTTAACTCGATTTCTAAAGGATAACAATCAGCTTTAAACAGTTTTGAAGTTTTTAATGTTCAAGTTTTCGAACATTTTTCATTATTTCATTTTACAAGTTTTAATAAATTTCTTTTGTGGCTTTTTCTAATAATTTGTATATTATTCAAGTCAACTAAATTTGTTTTTGTCTCGATTAATTGTAAAGGTTTCACATGTTTTATCAAGTCGTATAAACAATTTTGATTCGATTAGTATCATTTCATTTCATCGATTAATTAAATAATTCTCTCGAATAATTTTTTTTTCTAAGTCCAAATTTTCTGATTATTATTCTTTCGAATAATTTTTTCTTTCTAAGTCCTTTTAGATATTTTTTTTTTCTAAGTCCAAATTTTCTGATTATAATTCTTTCGAATAATTTTTTTTTTCTAAGTCCTTTCAGATAATTTTTTTTTCTAAGTCCAAATTTTCTGAAACCTTTTCAATTAAGACAGACGAGTTATTTATGCATGCTGTATTATCCCAAAGCCAACATTCGAATGAATGAGGCTCACATTGAATATTTCACAACGAGAAAATTTTATTGGGGCAAAGTTAAATATTTTAACTAAGTCCCAGTAATTTTTTCTCGTTGTGAAAATTTCAACGTGGACTTGATTTCATTCGAGTGTTGGCTTTGGGAATTGGTGTGAGGGAACACTAAAAAACATAAAAAAGTTTCAACGCTGAACAGAAAAGAGAAAAATTGACCTGGGACTTAGGGGGTTTTTTTTTTAGGCTCCCACCTCCCCCTTCTCCTCCTCTTTCCCCTTTTTTCCCTTTTTTCCGCTTTTTTTCACGTTTTTTTTCCTTTTTTGGGTGTTTTTTTCGCATGTTGTGGTTTCTGGGTAGATTTTTGGGTTCGGCATGCATCTTTCGCAATGTGTCTCTCTGCGTGTAACCTCTCGCATCACGGACCTCAGGTTGACCATCACCTCGTGTGTTCGTTTCAGGACCCTTTTTGCGCCTGCCACCAGCCAGCCACCAGCACTGCTCCATTTTTTCTGCTTCATAGTTGGTCGTTGTTGCCTTCAGCTGGACTCGATCCTCCTCACCTTGTGCCTCCAGAGTGACTTCACCGAGTATGCGGTCACTTAAACCGCTCGGCTATTTGAGTTATTGATGATAATAGTTATTTTTATTCTCATATTGTATTAATATTGAATTTGAATAAAGCATATGTCTCATACACATCTCTCTTATTCATCATCTGCCTCTACCCTTCTCTTTCCCGCGGTTCTTCCTGTACCTTCGTCATCTCTCTCTTTATGCATCTCTCTTACAGTCAAGTGCGAAACTTGAGTTTTTTGTTTTTCAGAAATTTACTAAGTGTCAAGGTCGAAATGCGCCACCTGAATTTAATATTTTGAACTAATATTTGATAATTATGAAAAACTAGACACTTGATTTTTCAAGCCTCTACGAGGATTTGAACCAGGGAACATTGAGCAACCGTAGTGGTAACTTAACGATCTCGGCCAATTCGTTATACAGAACCTTTTTCTGATTTGTGAAAATATAAAGTCTTATTTATATTGGTAACCATTGCCATGGCGATAGTCTTATTTTTAAATAAAAGATATAAGTTTCCTAAAAATGTAGTATGCCGAATGTGCGAGTGGCCGAGGCTGTTAAGATACTGTTATTGTTAGGGAGATGTGCTGATTAGTTTTTGGCAAAGGCAGGTCCAGGAGCAAAGAATGCAGAAAATAGAAATCGAGTTTTTGAGATATGGATATAGATATCTTTTTAGATCCGATTTGAATGATCTAAAAAACATTCAGTTTGTAATGACGGGAGAAGTGGTGATTAGTTTTTGGCAAATGCAGGCGCAGCGGTTTCGGAGATACAGAGCTAAATGCATAAGCACCTGTGATAAGAACAAATATAGTTATAATAATAATAAAACTAGATGCTTTTTCCACAAACTTTTCGCAGAAAGTACAACTCCAATTGTGTACAATTGTTTTTAATATTATTCAAAATCAGAAACAGACAACAAAATTATATTACTTATAAATTCTTTTAACATTTTAAACTTTTACAGCAACAGGTCAAAAAATCCGTGGATGTCTTTAAATATTTGACAGGAACAAAACAGCAAAAACTTTGTTAAAAAGTCCGTGGATCCGTTTTGGCTTTATTAAATATTACAATGTAGGCATTAAAATAAATTAACGTGTTGAAAGTATATTCAACAACCATAGAATTATGCCCTACAGTTTGCCAAAATATTTATGAATACATAAACATAAACCACTTTGCATAAAATTTGAAATATAAAGCATTATTTGGTACTTACCTCAGTCATATTTTCATATAAAAAAAAACTTCAGCTTTAAATCCATTAGTTATGAAATGATTATTTATTATAATGATAAGGACACTTGTCTTGAATATTGTTCTCATATTGTCTAGGAACACTCGTTCAAACAAGGCTCAGCACAGACTGTTCATTTATTCTAATTTAAATAATCTTCACAATAAAATTTAAACATAGAGTAAATCAAAATATTTATAGACTGGTAACATAGTTTTCAGTTTCAACAAAATCTTTTTCCAAGAAAATGTACAGTCCGAATAGTAGTAATAGTCAAACACAATAAAGAATCATCAAATATTTTCAATAAGTAATTTGAGTCTTTTTTAAACTAAACTTGTTATAAAAATGTATGTTGATTTGAGTATTCAAACTGCAGCTCTGTTCGACAATGGCTCCTACGGCCTAAGAAACTTGACCACAATATGTGTTGCAAATTATCTCTAAAAATACCTACATTGGTACTTGCAAAAGGCAAGATATATAATATAATATAGATATAATATTTACTCAATTATATATATATATATATATATATATATATAATTGAGTAAATATTCAACTTTTATAAAATCTAATACAATGTTAAAATTTTCAATTCACTACATTTTCACCACATAACAAATGGAAAAAAATCACAAATTAAACTAAACGTAAAGGGTAATTGTATGATTCAAGAAGCCAAATTGTAGCAATTTCGATTTTGAAAAGCTCATTTTGATATCTCAATAATAGAATTGTTTTGGATAGGAAGATAAGTGTTGTGCTACTGAATAGATCTAGTCTACATATTCAATAATTTAAAATTAAAAACATTTATTTGAAACATTGACACCCTACAATCTGATAATTTGAAATGGAAAATTGGCATACCAAGAGTTTTATATCAAAATTACATGCATCCTTAATGCTTAAACCAAGGCAAGCAATATCGTATATGTTGTAAGATAATGAATTTCTTTATTCCTTCTGATTTACAAAGCGCAATATACATAATAGAATTGGAAGTAATATGCAGCATTTATGTATATTGTGATATTCTTTTATGATACTGCTGCATTAGCGGCAATACTTGGATTATTCACTACTTCACCCAGACTTTCTAATAATTCCTTTCTATAGTCATCGAAATCTCCATCCACCTAAAATTATGAAAACATTATAAATGACAAACTAGTGCATGATATTATTAAATTCTCATATGCATTCAAGTTAAAAAAAGAAGTAAAAATATGACAGTTAAAAAGTATTATAAAGATGATTAATAATGTATTAAAATAATATGACTATAGGGGATGATTTCCAGCAATTTAAAAATAGTTATAAATAATATGTATTTACTAAAACCAATGAAAAACTTTTGAGAAATTTGAAATATCTACTGATTTTCATTATCAAGTCATCAAGTAACACCTATAAACCTTCTGTATGATTTTTGGGCAAGAAAGTATTAGATATAAAGTGCTAACTGACAGCACATCTTCGGATTCTAGAATATTTAAGAGAAAATTTATTATTTAATAACAAACCTCATTTATCGTTCTATCTTCTATCACATATAAGGCACAATCGGTTTCTCTAATAAGTCTTTCGTCGTGCGTAACTACAATAACTCCGCCTTTATATCCATTTATGGCTTCTGCCAATGCATCAATTGATTCAATATCAAGGTTATTCGTAGGTTCATCCTAAAATTCAGATATTCAACTAAACAGTGTTACATTCTATAAAATTGCTAAATACATTTTGATTAAAATATCGTTATTTTAAATAAGGCTTTAATACTGTTTATCAATAATTTACATATAAAGAATTCACACACAACTCATCAAATATTATATTTTTTATTTATTAACATCCAGAAGAAAGAGTTAGTTTTCTCCAGAGAATCCAAATTGCTAATTTTATGTTTTCTGGAAGTTTCAAGCCATTCTGAATCGTTTGTGTATGTAAGCGTTTGTGTTTACGCAAAAATTTTAATCGACTTTGAAAATTTAAAATCCGTTCTAAAGATATCAGTTAAGAATTGTGTTGATTATTTGTTAGTAAAGAACGGCTGGGCAGTTTCTTTGTAAACAATTTTTAAAATTTTTGAAATTTCATAATTTGAATCAAGATTATTTTTGATGAATAATTCAGATCAGAAACAAGTCACTAATACTAACATCACTAACACAATCAGTCATCTTTTCCTAAAAAAAAAAAAAAAATCTTTTTCTATACAAAACCGAATATTACACAGAAATTGAACATTTTGATTGGAACTGGATGAAATCAAAATATCTGCTAATCCTTGCCAAAATCAGTTCAAATATGCTTGTAAAATTGAAGTATTTGACTTACTAATGGAAAATAGACCTAGTTGGTATTGGTATTTTGGCTTGAGGCAAGTTACATGAACTTCCCAATATGTGTAAATAATCAAAGTAGTCTATAAAAAATAAATTAATTTATGAGTGATTAAAAGTATTCCGAGTGGATTTATTACACATAATTGAAAACAAATGCACATGTTAACACGGAGTATTTTTTAAAAACAAATTTTCAAAAATCAATCATTTTCATAATTGAACCAGTTTCCGTAGGACTAATTGTTTTGTATGTTCATTAAAACCAAGTACTCTATCGTTATACCAAGTAAATCGTTTAATTTATATTTTAACAAGCGTTAAAAAAACTAATCATTTTCTCATTTCATTGATAAATTTTTAAAATTAAACTACTTGTCGTAAGGCCATAATATTTCAGTAAGTGCTATAAGACCATAATATATATATCCCCAAAAAAAGTTCCATAAAAATCGGCTTTATTTTTTTTTCAACAGTTAATTACAAGAAAACGGCTCGGTAGAGTTTCACCTAAACCTAATCAGTATCATTCCCAACTAATATCTTTTGAACAGTGTTTGATGTTTTAAAATCGATTCGGTAGTATGAGCTTAAATGTGAACGAAAAGTTTAACCCAAATTACAAAACTGACAAACAATAGTCCTCATCAAGGCGCATCGAATGGCTTTTAAATTTTTTAAATCGGTCTAGCCGTTTTTGAGAAAATGTCGATTTACGGCAAAAATCTGTTATCTGTTTGCATATCTGTTATCTGTCTGCATATCTGTTTTATAGATTACTTCGATTATTTACACATATTGGGAAGTTCATGTAACTTGCCTCAAGGCAAAATACCAATACCACTAGTTTTATTTTCCATTAGTAAGTCAAAAACTTCAATTTTACAAGCATACTTGAACTGATTTTGGCAAGGATTAGCAGAAATTTTGATTTCATCCAGTCCCAATCAAAATGTTTAATTTCAAAAACACACACATGCTTTTTCCCAATTTCATCTCACTCGGTTCAGAATGGCTTGAAACGCCGAGAAAACATAAAATTAGCAAATCGGATTTTTTGATGAAAACAAACTTCTCATTTGGGAAGTTAATAAATCTTTCTTGGGGGTTGTTCTTTTTTTATTTTTCTTTGTTTCGGTTTTGAGATTTTTTGATGTTATGAAAGATAAAAACCTTAGAATCATTTAAAAAAAAAAATCATCTCAATATCTATTTTTTTGACAAAGTTATAGATATATATATATCTCTATACATATGATCCTCTGAAAGCGTTTTTTTATCGCTCCGCGAGCTATTGTATGCCAGATTCCTCTTTTTCATTATAATACCTCATGCACATGACCTTTTTAATGTGTCAGCATCTTTGAACACCATGGTGTATTTAGTACATTAAATTAAATGGTGTATTCAGTACATTATATTAAGAACTTTAAATACGTTTTTCTCAAATTGACTTTTTTCAATGCGGTGCCACAAATTAAACAAAAACTACAAGTCGGATCGACTTGCATTTTTTTTTAATTTGTTCACCACTGCAATACCTAATCCCCCTACCTCAAACAACTTGATAACATTACGCAAAAAAAATTTGCGAAGCTTCTCGCCCCAAAAAAGGCCTTCTTTGACACTTTTTTTTTAAATAGCTGCTATTTTTTCCTTCTTGCTTTTTTTCTTTCATTTTGATAGGGGGACTCGAAACAAACTTCTTCTTCAACGTAATTTCTTTTTTTTTTTTGTTTCGGGCGATGCGCAACGGATTTATCTGTGGCACCGCAAAAGAGATCTATTTTGCAAGACCGACTTTGGCGCCCCCTGGTTAAAAAATGACGGCGCAAAAAAAAAGAAGAAAATCACGTAATATTCTATGGTTTTGTGATTTTTGTTTAAAAAAAACCGCATGTCTCTATGATCAATACATTTCGAGAAAAAACAAAAACAAATACCTTGCATTTTTTGTAACAAAAAAAAACAACCCCCTTAAGTAATCACAATCTTACCAAAATGAGAACATCGGGCGCATTAAGACATAATTCAGCTAATGCAACTCTAGCCTTCTGTCCTCCTGAGAGATCCTTCATGCACACAGTATGAGCACGAGAAATCAAACCGAAAGATCCGAGGGCTCGCCTTGCACGTTCATGTTGCAAATCGAACAGCCGTTGCAGGTACTCGGCCGGCGTTTCATCCGCAGTCAGGTGCTCACCAGAATGCTGGTCAAAACGACCGATGCGCTAAATGAATAAAATAATAAAGGATTAACAAAGAGTATGAGGCATACAGAATCTGAAATTTAAGGGGGTATTCTACTGTAGAAGCATGAATTTTGCCCGGTTTTTGAAGCGCTGTATAAAGGAAACAAATATTATTTTTACTATCGATTTTTTATCATTTGTTTATTGATATTTTATTATTACATAAACAAATTATTGAATAAAAAAAATTAGAATTCACAAAGTTATGAGCAGTCAAAGTGGGGGCTCAAAAAAAGAGGGTGTCCTGGCGTGCATGATTCCAACCCTCCTGGTGATCCGAAACATAAAAAAATAAATGGATTCTTAGTTATTATAGATGCCGCTATCGTATGAACCTTGGATAAGTTAAAAAAAAATATTTTTTTCATGTTTTTTTTAACAATTCCGAATTTTTGAAAAATACTAAATGAAAAGTTATAGTTTTAGGAAAGGTCCATGCGATAAAGCGATGTATGTATAGAGAAGATCCTCTCCAATTTGAAATAAATCGGTTCATTAGAACTCGAGATATCCTTACCGCCAGCTCGAAAAAAGTAGTTCCGAGAAAAACGCGTTCAAAGTTTTGAGACTCGGTCGGACCCGAACCGAGTCCACGTCACTAAAACGGCTATAACTCAGGAAATAATAGTAATTTTGAAAAATACTTTTAATGACATATTTTTGAATTACTAACTTTGAAAATACGAAAAAAAAATTTTTTAGATTTTTTCAAAATTCTACAGTAGAATACCCCCTTAAATAATTTTGATGCCATTTTATAGGTCTTTTCGAAAAAATACGATATACCAATTTTCAATTCCTAATCTTACCATTTGGCCAAAATATCAGTAAAAACAAATGAAAGTGTCCCCTTTTTTCAAACTCACTTTTTGTCGGAAATATAAAATATATAAAAAAATAATAACGTGATTCTATTTATACTGATATTGTATATGTTGTTCATAACAATTAATGTAAAGAAATTATTTGTTAGTGCATGGAAATTTAAAAATAATTTGGATTATTTTTAAATTAGCATCATTCGAAAGCCTGTGCATTTTTCTTTTGTTATTCAAAATTTCATCTAAATTCAGATGGAACTTTGTGGTCAAAATTTGGAGAAATTTAAGCATATAATTTCGCTTTGCAAGAGCGACGAACATGCATAAAGCTCATCATTATCGCGCGTCTCGACAAATTCTGTATATAGGGAAATAATTATTTAAAACCAAAAACCATTTATATCTTGTATGTAAGTTTGAACTTTTTCGATATGCGTCAACAAAGTTTTGAGGCTAACATAAAGAAAAAACTGAAACACCATAATATTTTGTGCTATTAATTTTATCACCAAAGTCATATTATTTAACCAAAGTATTATTTTATGTTAATTATCATAGTTTTTTATAAAGTCTACGTGTATGTATGTGTATGTATGTATATGAATGCGTATTATATGAGTATATATGTATGTATATCTGTATGCAAGTAGATGTGTAAGTAGATGTGTATGTATATATATATATATATATATATATATATATATATATATATATATATAAGTTATAAATTAGCATACTATATTATAAAACTGTATAAAGCCGATTGGCGTATAAATAAATAAATAAATAAGTATATTCATTAGTCATAATTGAAAATTCAACACAACGAATAAAAAAAAAAAAATATTATTGATTATTTTTATTCGCCGTATTCAATGTATGAAAAACTTTGAAGATTCCAATATTTTTTATTTATTGGTGCCGACAATTAAAAGTATTTTTTTAATTTTAATTCATTACCTCTTTCGATTTTTTACAATGCTATTAATCAATAAATAATTAATAGAAAAAATATATATCAGTATACAGTTTTCAATACAATTATATTAAATAGAGTTTTAAAAATATATTAAAGAAGATATCTCTGCAACGAAATTGTCTACACTTATGTACATAATACATAGAATGTCACAAATTATAATTATTGTGGTTTTCCATGGGAAATAGGCAAAATAACAATTATTATTTTTTGAATAGATATTAGTTTAGCAGAAAACATATTTTCTTTTTTGTGTTTTCTGTGCACTGTTTTTGAATTGGTGAAATTGCATTAATTTTACATTTTAGTGACAATGTTATCATTATAAAATTAATAATATCAAAAAATTGCAAATATATTACAATTAGTATTTATATAGAAAAGGAATTAAATTAAGAAAACTATGGATGATGCAGAATTGTATAGTAGTTATAAAAAATAGTTATAATAATTTTCCCCATTACCTGAAATAGTAAATATAAAAGTTGTTATTTTACCTGCTCCCCATGGAAAACCATAATAATTATAATTGACATTCTATGTGTACATACATATGTAGAAGAAGACCAGGAAGCATGGAATTAGAAGTTTGAAAAGAAAAATGCATAAAAGTGTATAAAAACGTTAGGAATGGTAATGGTGCTCTCACACCATGGACCTAATTCTTTCAGACAACTATTAATTTCTATTATTATCAATTATTCATACCAGTCTATGGTTGCGTTTTACTTCTCCTCTGATTGGTGTGATGTCACCAGTCAATAACTTCAAGAATGTGGATTTGCCTACACCATTGGGCCCAACAATCGCCACTCGACTCGATAAATCTATTCCAAAATCTGCACCAACAAATAAAGGTTTTTGCCCCTCATATCCAAAATCTACATCTAGTAAGTAAAAACATTTGATTTGATTAATAATAATAATAAAATTTCCTTAAAAAAGATTAATAAATGCTAAATAAATGGAACGGAATTTGTTAATCGAAAACGTCTTAATAGAATATATGTTTAATGTCATATGAAAAAAAGTTAAATATTTGTTATTTAAAAAAATTTAGTTTTGATTTTAAAGTATAATATTAATACTTTTAATAGTGAAGTAAGTAATTAGTATGCAGAATCAGTTGCAAAAAAACTGTAAATTTAAAATAATCACAATAAACATAATAAAAAATCTTGCAACTTACTGTAGAGTCCTAAAATGGGTGGTTGAAGAGGAGGAGGATCCGGAAAACTAAATTTGACAATATATTCTTTTGGTCGAGCAAGTAGTTCAGTAGGTCCATTGTCTTCTTCTGCTTTTTGTATTTTACTTCTATTCTTTTCCTGTTTACGTGTTAGAACTTCTTTTTGCTTCTTTTCCTAATAAAAAATAAATTCATAAATAAAATAAATTATAAAAATGGGTGAGTTCATGTAATATTAATACTTACTGCCTGCTTTTTAGAAGAACCATGTGATTTCAGCTCCTTTATGCGTTTTTCTTGTTTCTCATATTCTTTGATCATTTCTTTACGCTTCTGAGCATGCATTTTTTTGAACATTGAGTAATTTCCCTATCAAGAAAAAAATATATTAATAAAATGAAATCATGAGAATACCTGTATAAACAGGATATTAAGGATTTAATTGATTTTATTTATTAATCATGTTTTATAACATTTTGTCCATTAATTCTTTCCAAATTTATACCATCTTCTGCATATGATAATTTCAATTAAAAAAAACAAAAATTAGTTTTTAATATGAAGAAAAAACTCTAAAGAGAGACAGTCAAAAATTACGATTTGAAAATAAAACCAAAATGAGACAATAAGATATAATTAACACTTGAAGGAATACTTCATGTTTAATTTTGATATCTTAAAACTAAATTTACTATTGAATTTACTGTATTTTACCTATATTTAAATTTAATTAGCAATTTTTGATCATACTGACCTTATAATAAAACAGTTTTTGTTGATCAAGGTGTATGATCTCATTGCAGACATTATCAAGGAAAGATTGGTCATGAGAAACGACTAACAAAGTCTTCTTCCATCCCTGCAAATAACTGAATAAAATATTCTAATTATAAATTTAAACATTAAAGTTGCGCATAATGAATATTAAAATGTTAGCACCACTTACTTATCAAGCCAGATTACAGCATTTAAATCCAAATGATTTGTAGGTTCATCTAGTAAAAGCAAAGTGGGCTCCAAATATAAAGCTCTCGCCAATGAAACACGCATTCTCCAGCCTGGAAGTGAATTAAAAAAAAAAATGCATAAATCATACTTTGATTCCCAATGTGCATGTACTAATACTTCAATTATTCTATCTACAGAAATGATAGAATAAATTAAAAAAAAAACATTTTATTAAGACTTTTTGATTGAAGTTTATTGATAAAACTTAAGACCAATTAATAGTTTGGGTTACTATTAAGTCAAGAATTTTTTTTTTATAATCATTTTTGAAAGTGAATGCTTTTTGGTATATGCACGTCGTAATTTTTCAAGAAATCACATTTGGATTTTTGCTTCAAAAGCTTGGCCTCTCAGGAATAAAAGCAAAAAATTTCCTGGCTTTTGAGAAAAAAGGTTTATTTTGGCAGATAAATTGCTAATGATTCAAATAACTGCAAAGTAATATTCTTATAAGACTAGGTCAGTATCTTATATAATAAAATCTTTTAACTACATAAACTTTTGATGTTTTTATAGTCAACGGAAAATTGTATTGATATCATTACCTCCTGAGAAATTTTTAGTTGCTCGATCCTGCATTTCTCTTGAAAATCCTAAACCAGCAAGAATCCTTCGTGCGCGAGGTTCAGCTGAATCGGCTCCTATCGCTTTGAGTTCTTCATAAACCTTAATACAAAAAATATTAGTAACTATTACTTGTAGTATTTTTTTTACAACTAAATATGTAATTGACAAAGATAATTTAATTATACTGGATACAGAATTCGAATTTGTGAAAATGAGCTAAAGACAACTATAACCATTCATTTTAAATTTATATTTATATTTATATTTATATTTATACTTATATTTATATTTATATTTATATTTATATTTATATTTATATTTATTCATTTTAGTTTGTATTGGGTGTGTCTATATTGTTTAATTTTGTTTATATTTCAAGTTTTGTATTCATTGTTTAATTACAAACTAACGTTTATTACTTTAATGTTTCTGTGTACGTACTATGCAAAACGTAAACTATAATAAAACATGTATTTATAGTTTCCAATTTGGTCGATTTAAAAAAAACTCAAGAATAAATATTACAAACCTCATTTAAACGGCCCTGTGCTTCAAGATCTCCTGCCTCCGTCCGTTTTTCTAGTTCACGGCATTCATTTAATAATGATGTCCGTTTAACATCAGCAAGCAAAACACTCTCGACTGCAGTTTTATCATCAGCCACAACCTCCTGCTCGCAATATAAAACATCGATATTAGGCGGGATTGCAAAGGCCCTCTCAGCTATATGGCGCAATAATGTCGTCTTACCGTGACTGTTGAAATAAGAATAATAAATTTAAATAAATGGTTAAGAACATACACCGAAATATTCGCGATCCGAAACTTGTAAGCATAATTTTGAAAAAAAAGTGTGCATATGCATGCAAGCATATGTGCATTATTTACATGTTTAAGTTTGCATGTGTGCAACTTTTTGTTATCAATTCACAAAAAAAATGACAGTTCATCTTTGATCAGGACTTTGACCATTAATATAGCTGTACATCGACTTACAAAAAATTTGAGATACAAGCTTTGAGCGAGCAAGAGTTTTCTAGAAAAATGTTAATGGAAAAATATAAATATAAAAAATTTCAACAGTTGGTTAAGTTTCATTAGTTATAACAATGATTTTTCTACTATGAAAACATTTTGGCTGATTTATGATAGTAAACTATTTTATAGTTTTTAATTGTTTTATTAACTATATATTAATATTAAGTGTGTAGTAACAATTAACCCAATTATATTCAAGATAAATTTAACATTTAAAATTTTAAGTATATATTAATAGTGATTATACAGTTATATATGTTGAGTTCGCGTTTTTTGCCTTTTATACTCTTACAAAATATTATGTACTTTTATATCCAAGAATCTAATGAAGAAGGCCTTATCTCTTAAATTAAAGCATAATTCACCATAGATATACACTGTGTTTAAGCACAAATAGGGTATAACTTCAACTAAAGGCCTTACAATAATTTATAAACAGGTTTCTGAGTTCTTAAAGTTTGTGGATAAAAACAGTTTAAGCATGAGAGTTAACAAAACATGTCTAACTAATTTCTGAAGTAGCATAATTGATAGAACAAAACAATAAATAGATTAATCAACAAAAACTTAATTTCAATATTAAGAAAACTTAATTAACAAATTAATGGCATTTAATTGTATTTATGAGTTACAAGATTCGAAACTGGTTACGTAATGAATTAAACTTTTATGATGAGGTACCACTATATTTTGCATAAGAATTTGCACAAAATAATAATATACATAAATTCTAGAATCAAAAGTTTAATATCAAATTATAGAAACTCACCCATTAGGACCAACTAGACCATATCTTCTACCATTTGCAATCAATAAGTTGGCATTAACAAACAAATCATTTCCTTTTGCTGATATTGAGAAATTTTCAATTTTAATATCTACAGCATTTTCCATTGCAAGTTTTTGACCAACAGATTTCTCTACCTATGTCAAGAAGAATAACATAAATATATATATTTTTCAACTTTTTGTAGAAACCCTCAGAAAACCATTGCTCATTAATAATGATGATCTCAAAGCTGCTTCAGAATTGCTACATTAAATTAAAAAAATTCAGTGCGCAAAGTTGTCAAATTCTTTTTTACTTTAATTACTATATAAATAAATGCATTTAAAATGATATTGAGTTCGTACAATAATACTTCCCACATAAGTATATGAATATTTTTTTCCACATAATTCAAATACCCTGCTATAAATATACTTATAGCCAAAATGTATAAAAGAATATTCAACACAAACTTGAAACATAATAAATTTGAATACTATTATGACAGAATAACAAAAAAAATGTTACCTGTGAAACAGTAAAGTTGCTATCTAAGGTACTATGGCCTTGTCCACCCTTCTTAGTGAGAGATTCCATTTGCTTTTCATATTCCTCTTTCTTTTTCAACTTTTTCTTTTCTTTATGGGTAAGTTTTTTAGAAGAACTTGTCTCATCGTTTGCAATTTCTTCATTATCAGACAGTTTATTCACTTTTGTATCAGACATTGTGAGCTCAGAAATCTGGAAAGAATACAAATATATATGCAAACAAAACATGCATGATAAATACTTATTAAGCCAGGTTGATTCAAAATATAGAAAAATATGTTATATCAAGCATAAAATAGTTATGAATAGGTTAGTTTTCATTATAATTTAATAAAATATTTGAAAACTGAAATTTTTAATGAAAATTAAATAAATAGCAACGATTGAGGTTTAACACTTAAAATTGTTTTGGTTTTTTCATCTAAATGTATTCTATTCTTTATTATATTAAAATAATTTACATACATTTTAGCATAAAAGTTTTGAGCATTGTGACTCATTCATGAGGATAAAAGATATATTGAGATTGAGATTGAATACTGAAATTCTAAATGTATTACTTAGCATTCAATTTTCATAAATAAGAGCAGAACTAGTGAGTGAGAGCTTATATTAAACTTATAAAAAGCATATTAGTTCAATTACTAAAATGATTAGCACAACAATCATTTAATGCTAATATTACATTTTAAGGCACAACATTAAGACACTAGTGGATTCCCACCTTTTCATACCGCACTGTTCTTCAAAAAAAGTAGTTGCACGCTCTTTTTTTTTTTTTTTTTTAACAACTTAATTTCATAAAAACTCAACTGGTATTATAATTTAATGACCAGCCTACAAATTAATGTGCAATATTATATTCATTTTTTTATATCATTTCATATTTTTTTGTTTATTTTCAAAATAATCTTGCACGCCCCTGAGGAGGTGCCTCAAAGTTTGGATACCACTAGATGAGTTTTACTATATAAATTTTTCATATGTATTACCTGCTGTGATATATCTCCAGCATCATCAACCTTGCTCATTGTTTTTTCTTGTTTTTCATTTTGTTCTACAGTGTTTTTGCTGGACTTTACTTCACCCTCAGGTTTGTTTATGCAAGTCTCTGCTTCATTCGGTTTTTCTAATTTGAGTATAAGCATATAATTATACGTTAGTCATATACTATTCATTTTTTTCTTCAAATTATAGATTCACCAAGCATAAAAAAAGTTATATGTTGAAATGTGTGGCAATACATTTTTTTAGGATTCTTTGATTTTTATTTGATGTAGCTTGAAGATTTTTTGCACATATCTCAACATCAAAATCAACATAAAAAAAAGTTGAGATTATAAAAGTCACTGATAGGAATTGAACTTGAAAACAGGTTTAATATTTATGAATGCTCCTTATTAATCATTTGCTATCAATATTTATAGAAGAAAATTAATGAATTATTAATAATTATAAGACTATTATTTTTTATATTTAATATTAGCTAAAAGAGTATAATATTTCAGCACATTTACTCAGGACATTCAACTCATTACCATGCAAATACAGGTAACTCTGGCATAATACAATATAACACGGATTCACTCTAACAAGGTTTAGGAACTGAGACCATCCCCCTCATAACACGTTTTTTTTGAAGCACTTAAAGGGTTTGCTATAACACGGTATGAGAATTGAGCAAAACCCTAATAAAATAAGAAATATAGTAAAACCTATGAAAATCAAACTTAATCTAA